ATAATCTGTTCGTTAATCACGATTTGTTTTGTTAAATCGAAAATAGACGTGATAATACAATAATATGATTTTAGTCCCTTCTTTTCTCAGGTATAAATCGAAACATATCGATTGTAAAGAGAAATTGATAGGGACAAAAATTGTGGGAAATTTCATTTCAAACAACTTTGTTTATCATAATTATTCTCGTAAAATTGAAAATAAACGATATGTTTCGGGTATAAATCGGAAAAAATCGATCCTAGGTAAAAATTTATTGGAACCAAACTTGTATGGAATCTAATTTTAAACAACTTTTGTAATAACTGTTTTTCTTGTAAAATTGAAAATAAACGAGTTATTCAATAAACAAAAATCAACCCTTGAATTCAAGATGGTGGATGAAGCAACGGGTCTCATACTCCGGGAACTTGAATTTAGACTGCTAATTACCCGCCCAAAGAATTCCGAAAGATAATTGCAATTTTTTTTTCGTTGCTGCCCCCTTTTTATGAGCTAATTAGACTGAACTAATACAGTGACACGATTTTATTTTCAATTGGATTGACGATTCATCAAAGAAATTGAATACACGGTTTGAAAATTAAACTAAGAGGTGGTCTGAAAAGTTTCCGAAACCAACATGAAGATGGCAGCACTCGTAAATAAACTACTCAAAATGAATATGGAGACAAGTCCTCAAAATGCAATAAGTAAAAAAATATGTATTATTTTCTCAAACATTTAAATTTATAAAATAGTTTATAGGTGTCTTCATTAAATTCAACTTACATTGTTTTCAAAATGTTGTTTGGTGATACGATTAAAAAAAAATACAAATGAGTGTCAAAAACAAATCAAATTTATTTCAGAAAAAAAATTAAGAAAAATGTACATTAATAGTGAGTACGTCTCTAAGAAGTTCGGCACAACGACGGGGCATGCTCTTCACCAAATTTCTAATTACTTATTTGTTGTGGTAACTGCTCGTAAATCGTCAACAGAGCATCTGCAACTTGGTTCAGATTTTGGAAGGGTTGATGATCCTTCAAACGTCTCTCCAGTTTATCCCAGAGCTGCTCAATAGGATTTAAATTTGGACTATTAGCTGGATATCTCATGACATTAATATTGTGCTTCTGTAGGAAATTTCTCACGACCCTGGATACGTGTGGCCTGGCATTATCTTGTTGTAAATGAACCCAGCGCCCATATTTTGGGCAAACGGGACGACATGATGTTCCAATATCTCTTCTATGTGACGGATAGCCGTTAAAGTCCGTTCCCGAAATACCACAAGGTCCTTGTATCCTGTCAAAGTTACACTAGCCCATACCATTATCGATCCACCTCCAAATGGAACAATTTCTTGCACACAGTCATCCAAATACCGTTCACCGGGACTTCTCCATACCCGAACACGTCCGTCATTGTTGAATAACATGAACTTTTCTTCATCTTTAAACATTACATTGGCCCACTGCTCTAAATTCCAATTACGATGCTCTTGACAAAAGTTTCTACGATTTCCTCGATGAGCTGGAGTTAATCAAGGGGCTCTAGCAGGTCGTCTTGCATGGATTTGTACGTCGTGAAGCCCTAATTGCCCAAAGTCGTAACAAACGATCATTTCTGCTGGTTGTTGGGATAAGGGGTTCTTTTTACTATGCCGTAAATTTGGTAGCGATTCCAAGCTCTGGAAACCGCAGAATTACCTACATTAGGAATTTGGGCTACACGACGCTTTGAATACCCTACTTCGATCAATGCAACTGCTCTAGCAACTTGAAATTCGTTGAGGTACACTCTACGCATCCTCCTTCTAACCAATACATCAACATTCATTGTTTAAATTTAATACCTATCACGAACTAAAGTAAAGTGAAACTAAATACAGAATTTTTCATATTAATGATTTTGTAGCTAAAAAGTACAAAAAGAAGTGAAAAAAGTAAACAACAACCGAATGGAATATGATAAGAATTAGTATGGAGTATACCTACACCAGAAGTTCCTATCATGAAATAATACATATTTTTTTACTTATTGGATTTTAAGGATGTGTCTCTATATTCATTTTGAGTAGTTTAAAAGCTAGTGAATTTGGTTGTTCATCTGTGTTGACAGTTATTCGCCAAAGTTTCACTCATATTGGACGCGCAGTTGTTAAGTAAAAGTCGTTTGAGTGGGTTGATGTGAGTGTTTTTATGAAAATGGAAAAAATCGAGTATCAAGATGTCATTAAATATTTGTTTATGGGGACTCTGCGCCATCATTTACCACAGTGAAATTTTGGACAGCTGAATTCAAACGTGGCCGTAGGAGCTTGGGAGACGATGAACGTTCGGGAAGTCCAAAAACTGCAACTACCGACGAAAACATCGCCAAAGTTCACCAAATGGTGCTAGACGACCGCCGAATTGAAGCGAGAGAGATAGCAGAGGGTTATGAATATGTCAAATGAACCTGTTTGTCACATATTTGATTAACATTTAGGCATGAGAAAGCTGTCCGCGCGTTGGGTGCCGCGTTTGCTCAAGTTAGACAAAAAACGTGCCATTGATTACTGTAGATGAAACTTGGATACACCATTATACGCCCGAAACAATAAATACAGTCCAAACAGTGGACTGCAAAGGGGGAACCGGCTCCAAAAAAGCAAAAACTGTTTTTTCGGCTGGAAAGTGATGGTGACTATTTTTTCGGAGAGCCATGGGGTTACTTTAGTTGATTATCTTAATGAAGGACATTACAGAACATGCGGAATATCGGCCCTATTTGCAGAAAAAGAAAATCCTGTTTCACCAAGACTGCTTGATCATCCGCCTTACTCACCAGATCTAGCCTCAAGCGACTTATTTTTGTTCCCTCATCTGAAAATTGCGCTCGGAGGACAGATATTTTCGTCAAATGCAGAGGCAATAACCTTCGTGAACAATTATTTCGCACAGAAAAACGACGAGTAATATTTGGACAGGTAATAGAGATGGGAGCATAGCTGGAAGAATGGTGTAGAGTTAATATGAGACTATGTTGAAAAATTAAAAAAGAAACTGAAAAAATGTCTTGTATCTTTGTTAGGTCGAAAACTTTTGAGCCTATCCTCGTATAACGTGTAAAATTGAACGAGCTGTGGAATTTATATGATTTCAGATTTGAATTAAAAGCTGGAAATATTCTGAAATATCAATTAATATTGAAATCACCACAACACTTAAACTAATCATATTGAAGGAACAAATTAAGTCAAAATTGAACGATGTGACCTCAAAATAACAAGAGTTGCATGACGAAAATTTCGAAGTTTTCTTTTATGTTTTGAGCTTTGTTTTTTTAATTCAAAGAACACCTCTAATATTTTTTCTGTTACCTAAATTTCCAAAAGTATTGATCATTTGCTACGTTTACTCCACTATCAGAGGAATCGGGAGGAGGATTCAAACTTGCTATTAGTGTTGACGATATAATCAATTTTGAACTGTCTCTATCTACAGATACTTGTTCAGTGTATGAATTCCCAAGCTCTACGAAAATTCGATCGAGATGAACCATTCAATTTGGAGGGTATGATATGCTTAGACTTTTTAAAAGTTTTTGTGGAGGATTTATGAGAATTTTCATACAGCATGAATGATATATTGCGAAGTGCTTGCCTGAGTATAATATTACTGATGATGTAATACGAGTAATGTTGGAAGATAAGTTTATACTGTTTTGCAGTTGTTTGTTGGTCTAACCAGAGAATACAAAGCCCATAGAAGCACCGTGTGTTTACTTCTATATGGTGTCAGAAGTGGCATTTTCGTATCACGTGAAATGTTTAGTACTTATCCTGACCACCAGAGGGCGATGGCAGTACGATGTCAGTATTTAATGTATCAACAGAATTGGGTGGCTTGCAGTGCGTAAGGGCCGCCGTAAACGCTCCAAGATATGTACCGAATAGGTACATATTCCGGGATCTAGACCTGAACATACACTACGTAGACGCATACATGAGGAAACACGCAGAGGACACGTTTGACAGAATTCGAGCGCACGACAACTCAGCGTTAAGCGACTTACATAACGCACTAAACAGGGAGGCTAACAAAGCAGAATCAAAGACCACCTCCGAGAGTCGCTGTCAGGCGGCTTCGGTAAGTATAAATATTTCTCAACCAGACTTCAAATCAATCTCATTTACAGCAACAACACATGCTCGCGACTAAAAAGACACTCGTCTCCGGTTAGTTTTTGGGGACCCCATGCAATAATTCCACATTAACCGTGTGGAGAAACTTTCAACTCAGGGCACTCAACCCGGGAGGGAACATGGAGGGGTAGCTTGCAGTTGCTGATAACCAGTCAGCCGGATCATATCGAAATCAAATTAAATTAAAAAGCCCGACTAATTTGTCAGCGACTGCTACCCTGTTCTGTTCGTAATCACATTACATACAAAGCTGACATCGTACGCCATCGCCCTCTGGTGGTCAGGGTAAGTACTGAAAATTTTACGTGACACGAAAATGCCACTTTTGAGGTTCCAGTTCTATGGACTTTGTATTATTTTTCGAATGTCGTTTGCTGTGGTCGTTTGTTGATAGTTCAAAATGTAATCTCGATCGAAGTTACTTGAATAGTTTGTAAATTATCTTCAACCGGGATCTATTCTAGTAGGATATTGAATATTTTGGATATCATATTTCTTCCAAAAGTTATTTCAACTACGGATTAATAATATTCAAACTTTCAAGGCCTCGTCTTTTTATATAATTCAAATCTTAGGAATGTGTCTATAGCTTTCAAGTCATAATTTGATATTAATAGTACTGTTGTACAGGAAAATTGTTCTTCTCATCATATAGTGATACAAACTATTTTGGGAGGCTGAATCTTGATTTGTGTTACTGGTTGGGTCTAAACTTAGACTAAGTATACACTGTCTTTCAAAAAGTCTGCAGCGTCTTTTGTGAGGAAACTTGGTATTGAATAAGGTGAAGAAAGTTTGAATACTGTGCATTGGAGCATACTCCTAGATTCATAAAATACAAACTCCTATCATATCAAACTAGAATTCTGTATGTGTCTTGTACGTGTGTGTATGTGTGTTGGAAAAGAGAATAGTCAGGCAATAGAAATCAGTGACTTTTTGAAAGAAGAAACGACAAAAAGTATAACACGAAGAAACATGCATCATATCAACAACTTTTTTTGACTTACCTCGCACTGTGACTCAACATTATGATACTTCTGTAACAAGTAACAAGGTACAAGGTTTTTAATTCTATAGTTTACATTTCTTAAGTTGATATTTACAACAAGCACCATCTTTTTCATTAAGAGGTGTGAAAATGGTAGAAAATAGCGTTTGGTGATACAAGAAGAGCAGAAAGCGACAAAGTGTGTCATAATTGAAATTTGTATTGAATGCCAATGAGTAGAAAACCTGGTTTATGTATTATCATACGATATATTAAGCTACCATTTAGGTTAGGTTAGGTTAGGTTACGTCAAGTTATGTTAGGTTAGGGTAATAATACTAATAGAAAATGATATGAATATGGAGAAGGAGAAAGCCAATACTGTTTTTATACATGAGGTATTATTTTCGATTTACTTTTCATGATTCAGTTACTAGTGAGTTTATGACAATATGTTTGCTAAAATATATGACACACTTTGCATGTATGAAAAAAAGAAAGCTATAAATTTCTCAGTATCTACATGCGGGACTTCCCGAAAGGTACAAAAGGGCCGGTAACTTCAGGATGGAAGTAAATATTTTGAGGAACTGGAATCAAGCAGAATTGAAATAAAACAGCAAGCAAAAATTATATCAAAGCTTGAGAAACAGACCTTCCCGTTGAAGATACGACTCGTTTTTCTGCAAAATGTAGACAGCATAAAGATTTTTACCATGTAGAGTACGTGTCATAAAATATGAATTTGATTCGTTTAAACAGAATAAATCATAGTAAAGATAGAGCATATGCTGGAAAGTTAATCTTTCTATCGATTCGGAATAGAATCATTACTTCTAAAATAATTCAAATAAATTGATGGATGTAGCCACTATGTGGTAGGAAATCATAATGAAAAGACATAATGACGGACATTTTCAAAATTATTGTATAAGTTTGAATTTGTCAGCAGAACACTTGAAAAAATTCTCCGAATTTTCATTATTTTCTATTGAATTTTTTAATAATTTTACTAGTTTCACTTTTTCACTAACCTACCATAAAAAATATTCTAAAATATTTTTCCGGTATCCATTTTATGCATGTTCTATTCCTCAATCCCAAAGTATTTTAAGGGCAGAATTTAATATACATTCCAGATTTATTCATATTTTACGAAACAGTTCAAGATATATAGTTAAGCATTATAAATAACACTGTTGAGATAAAACTGAATAACATAGACAGAACGATCCAGACAAATACAGAGATGATGAAATAATTGAAAATTTGTTAATCACAATAATACTATCCAATGAAAAACAAACAGTATAGAAATATTTCATGATATAAAATTACTGAGTCGGATGAACTTGGTTAATTGGTTAGTTTTGCCCTATTACACTAAAATGAAAAGTAAATAACAATAATAGTATAGATAATAATAATACGCAGCCACTCAACTTAGACACTCCAGCCCTAGCGCAGTTCGAAGCTTTCAACAGAGATCTTCGACAGCCTGAGCTCAATGAACTACGCAACCCAATAACCCCGGATGACGTTCGAAGAGCCCTTGTGGGTTCCAAGAACTTTGCTGCTCCAGGCCCAGATGGGCTGAACACTTATTGGTGGAAAAAACTACCAAGTACCCACCGCCATCTGGCCAGAGTTTTCAACTCATGGCTGGACGGAGAGCAGCCGATTCCGGATTGGTTTGTCGAGGAACGGACCGTTTTCATCCCCAAAAGCGGAGATTTGTCGATTCCTAAGAACTACAGATCGATAATATGCTTGAATTCGTGTTATGAGTTGTTTACAAGAATCTTACACACACATACACACGAATACTCACCGCAGTTGACCGAGTGTTCGAACGGATATATGAGCAGAGAGGGTCGAAGAGAGGAGTCGCTGGATGTAAAGAGAACCTGCTCATCGATGAATTTGTAACGCAGGACTCGATACAATATAAGCGTAACCTCTCTATGGCCTGGATCGATTACCGTAAGGCATGAGCTCATCTTGCATTTGCTCAGATTCCTTGCGGTACCCGACAAAATAGTGAGATGCATTGAACAACTGATACCACTCTGGCGAACTCGCTTCACCATAAAATCTGGTCAAGCCAGAGTCCAAACAGGGTGGGTCACTTTCAGAAGAGGTGTATTTCAAGGCGATTCCCTCAGTCCCCTTCTCTTCTGCATCTCACTATGGTCATTATCCGATGTGCTCAGAAATACTCGAGGGTATAACTGTGGCACCCCCGGAAACCGGAGGCACAAGGTCACTCATTTGTTTTATATGGATGATCTTAAACTTTATGCCTCTGGAGAGAAGGTTCTCCATCAGTCCTTGAGGGTGGTAGAAGAGTACACGCATTCTATCGGTATGGACCATTCTACAAATGTGCAATGGTCCATCTCCAAAGATGACGATGCGGGGACTACGGAGTGGATATGCAGCTAGTAGATGGAAGCATCATACACCATTTGGATGCCGAGAGACGTATACTTACCTCGGGGTGGAACAACGCCACTCACAAGAGGTAACAGCAGTGAAGAACTCTCTCCGCGGCAAGTATCAGCACAAACTTCGACAAATCTGGTCATTGGAATTGTCGGAGAAGAACAAAGTTGCTGCCGCAAATATGCTTACCGTTCCAATTTTACTCTACTCGTTTGGAGTAGTGAAGTGGACTCGGGAGGAGCTGTATCAACTTGATGTAAAGACCCGAAAAATTATGCATCTCTATGAAGTTTGCATCCCAAATTGTCCGTTCCACGGTTGTACTTCCCCCGCAAACATAGGGGCCGTGGATTTTTAAGTTTGGAGTGTCTACATGACAGAATGGTACTGGATATAGCCTGTAAAGTCGTCAGGAGTTCGGATCCCCTTCTTTGCATGGTCCGCGACCATTTTATATTCATCGACATAACGCGGCCCTACATTACCATCTACGGTACTCTTACGGTATTGACGAAACACCGGTGTTGTCCTACGCTCCGGGGGATATTGAATCCGTTGTGGGAAACGAGAAGTGCCGAATTCATTGGAACTATTCGTTCCCCATCCTCAGGCTAATACAAGCTAATAAGCCTGATGTAGTCCTTCTCGACCACCAGAGCAAGACGATATTTGTCGTGGAGTTTTCAGCTCCTGGCGAGACGAATATCGTCCGAAAAGAGGAGGAAAAACTGATAAAAATATCGAGATTTTCTCTTCGAACTCCGTAGACTCTATTCAGACCACTCTGTCAAGATGGTTGTTCTGATTATTGGAGTCCTTGGTGGAATGATGCCCTTTCTACCCTCGAATCTTAAAATCATACCGGCTTGCCGCACTAAGGCAGAAATCTTAGCCAGACAGATGCAGAAGGCTGTCATTCTCGGCTCACTGCGCTTACTCAGGGCACATGATTCTCGGACCCAATGATCACTTATCCCCACGGTGTGGGGAGTGGTCGTTGGTTGATAATGCTGGCGCGCCCTCCCAAATGTATCGGGGCTTCGGGCCTGACCAGCGCATAAACGGTAAAAAAATAATACATTTATTAATCCCAAGAAATATTAGTGGCATCAGCTGAAAAACGGCCTGAATAAATAACATTTCTGACCAAATTTTCTTTCGTGTGGTTGTGAAACTTTATTTTGTACTTGCTGTGTATTATGATCATGAATTGAATTGACTTCATCTAAACATAGTACTGAATGTTTTTTAATAATTTCAACATTATAAATGAACATGCATATTTTGAAATGGTATACTCCCTTAAAATCAAATAATTTTTTAGGTTTATACAAATTGCTGGTCCTTTTTCTCTACTTCAGCTCATATATTCGAGTAATATATTGAAAATTTGAATGAATTGAAGGAAATTGTGTTCAAATTATTAAATGGAATAATATTTCTTATTTGTAAATTCCACGATAAATTCTGATCTAGATATAAGCCTGAACATTTTATTTTGTTCTTAAACTCGATCAAATTTTTATTGAAATTGAGGAAAGAAGTTTTATTATCTGAATTTGTTCTGGATAAACTTTTATATATGAATATGTCAAACTGACAGTGACATATTAGAAATTATATCATTGAGAGTTTAGAATTATGAAATGGGATCTATAATATCCCATCTCTTTAGACGATTTCACAATAAGAAACATTTGCGAATTCTGATGGTTGGATTAGATGGTGCTGGAAAAACAACAATTCTGTACAAACTAAAACTTGGTGAGTACTTTTTTCATATGATAAATTCACTGAATTTTTCTGATCCAACACTTGTATGTTTTGTGAAATTAATAATTACTGCTCACTCATTGGAAAATCAATTAAAGTTAACTCGATATATTCAAAGTATTGTAGTATACTTGAATTCACAGATGATTACGGTCAGGAAACCTTCAGAATGTTAAAAAAGAAGAGAATATTTTTTTCTTGAGTGTCAACAGCATCGATTGCTTGTTCATAATCCACGCGTTCTGAGTAAACAATGTTAATAACTCTCCGAGCCGTCTAGGGAGCATCATGGCTATTCTCAGTTCGTCAGCCATGTTACGTTGCAGAATCATTCCAACTTCAACTAGATGAATTCTCTCGAGAAAAATCGCTGGTCGGGGTTGGGTATGGAATAATATGAAGTTTGGCAAGGGCAAGAACTTACTCTCAGAAAAAGGAAAACTTCCGCTTATTTTGGAATTCACTTACATAATTTTCACCTGAACATGCATGAAACGGTGTGTCATATATCTACTCAAATTATTTCACAAATGAAAGCGGCGTAGCCAGAATTCAACAACAAATCGTTGTTTTAGAGACTTCCAAATTATTTGGGTACTTCATTTCTGAAGTGCATTAGAAGACTTAATTGATTTGCAAGTACTCGATACATACGATGCCTTTTTTTCTGACCAACGTCTTCAGTTCAATCGGGATGGAGCCCAGCTCCCTTACCTTTTCAGCTGATTATTGTCGAAGAAGGACAAATGGGTTCATGACTGAGGAGATGGAAGATGCCTTTTAGAAAAATAAAGTGAATTTTAGTTTTTCTCAACTGTCCTTAAATGACAAGCCTGAGTAAGACGCCCTCTATGGGACTCAGGGACTGAGTTCTCTGTCAGTTCCATAGATGGCGTTATATATGGAACTCAGAGACTGAATTCTCTGTTGATCCCATAGATGGCGACTTGGCGATGGTGTTATCGTTCTTACCAGGCTTGTCCTTCAAGACGGTCGTTTCCAGCAATGCATTTGTGACCTATGGTAGGTCGAAACGGCTCTGACTGGATTTGAATCATAAATGCGTTGTGTTTGGGCTCTGTTTTTTAAATAATTCAAGCTAGTTGATATGACACTTCCTTTAATTTCGTTACACTTTGTTATATGACTAGTGGACTGCATCTCCTTCTTTTCAGTTTGCTAGAAGGTGCAGCCTTAGAGTATGCTCGTTCTACAGGAGCGTCTTGATCAATTTATTCTTTGACGAAGGCATTCGAAAATGTTACGTGATTTTTTTAGATTCTTTATTCCCTCCAGGTGAAGTTTTGCGAACCATTCCTACGGTGGGCTTCAATGTAGAAACAGTAGAACATGCCAATGCCAACTTCACTGTTTGGGATGTAGGAGGACAAGACTCTCTCAGAAGGCTATGGAAACATTATTTTCCACACACACACGGTGAGTAAAAATGTCCTATATCCGTTCTTTTCGTATTGCCTACCATTCTACAGCATGCCAATATTGAATGTTGTCAGTAGGAATATCTCGAAAATGGAATCAATAAAAACTCAATCCTGGTGAAAACACGGTTATGGTAAAAAACTGGTATCTTCTCACCTCCTCCAACAGTTGATGAGCGTGAATTCCAAAAACTATCATTAATTGAAGAAAATATATCAATAGAAAAAAGTTGTAAGTCTGGAAGCATTATCTATATTATTATTGTGCAAAAAAGGTGAATATTTGCTGTTCAAAAATTCCTTTGTGCAAATCAGGAACTGGAGTTGGCACAGGAAGAGACTCTCAAGGGTTACAGGATTCAGTTGAAGTTCCTATACATAGTCGATAGCATATTGTACCACAAATGATATATTGTATACGAAACAACAATAGTGCAATAACTGGTCTTACTGAGAGCACAAGCTGAAGATATGTTAGACTAAGTCCATGGTAGTCCAGCAGGAGCAATCCAGAAATTAGTAGAACTATTGCCGTGGGGTTGAGGAATACTACAAACGATGCAACCTCTGAATGTCGAACAACTTCATCGAGGTACCCAGAGAACGGAGAATTCGCTTCAAGATGTAGAGAAGATACCAAGGCTTCTACCTAGTGACCAAGAAAGTGAATGATCTAACCAAGAACCAAACCATGGTTATCCGCATAGAAATATCAACTCCTTTCAATAATGATACTCCTTTCAGTCAGTTACACCTGAATTTAGCAAATGAGTAATCAAGGAGGAACTACCTTCGAGAGGAGGATCTCCTTGTGACCTTTCCAGGAAGGTGGACAGGTCACTAGGAGACATCATCTTTATATTGGCAGGTGTAGGTCAAGACTCGCCGAACACACACTCTCTTTGGCAACCTTGAGGTGTCTCACGGTGGCCTCCGCGAAGGTTTTGAAAGGTGCAGCGACATTACTGTCGTTGCGCTGCTTCTTCAACCTTCTTGGGGTTCCCTCCGTGGAGGTGCATATGTGAGGGAGCTTTCCTGCAGGGGCATCAGGTTCCTTGTCTTTATTCAAGGCGAAGCTCTTGGCGCCCGTCGCATAAAGTACCCTTGCCGTTGGAAATGGAGTGGGAAAGGAGGAGGGTGTACTTGCTGCCATTTCTGCCTCCTTCGTTCTCTTTCTCCTTTTGGCCTCGGCCCCGCAAATGCGCTTACGCCTTTGCATTTGTATTACATCACGAAGAGATCTGCTTTGTCCAGCCTCATTCCAAGCAGTAGATTGGGGTGGACATTTCTGTCCACCCTATCCGCACCTGGGGACGCGCCCGATAGGGAGGCTTCGGGAGGAGGGTAACATTATCCTCTTCGGGCCGTCATGAGGTTTCAACGAACAACAGATGAACTGCTATCTAGACGGTATTGAGATCAGTGTAGAGAAGGGGATGGAGGTGTAATAGTTCCTTCCACGACTCGACAGCAACAGCCAGTGAAGTGAACCAGTGAAGTAACTGTAAAAAGATGTTGAAGTTAGTCTTCCCAAGCTTTATTTTTGTATTATTAAATGAATCAACGTAGGCGTAACAATTCCACCAAAATTTGGTTCTCTCGAACCTCTATCGCCTCATTTCTGATATATCCTCATTGTTACATCTATAATGTTGATGTGGATTCAGAAAATTCTTATTTCTTCAGGAATCATCTTCGTGGTGGATTCATGCGACATAGACCGGATAGAAGAAGCCCATCGCGAGTTGAAAAACCTAACCTATGAAACGGAGCTAACACAAGCGATTCTCCTGGTTTTTGCAAACAAACAAGACATGCCTCAAGCAATTTCGACTTCGGAACTATGTGATAAATTGAAATTGAACGATATAAAGGATAGAAAGTGGCATATACAGGGCGTTAGTGCGTTAAGAGGCTCGGGGTTGCTCGAAGGTTTCAAGTGGTTGTGTGATGAAATAAGTGTAGATAAGAAATGAAGTAGAAATAGCGGTAAATGTTTCATAAAATGTTTGGATGATTATTTTCTGGAGCTTTTGTTTCTGTGATTATCTGACTTATCAAGGAAATATTCCATCTATACCAATTTCGCATTTAATAAACCTATGTAAATGTTCTTGAAGTCACAAAGAATTATTTTCGATATTGAAACGGCAAAACTATCGTCCCACATTAATCATCACCGTTTTCTGAAAATTATTTGAAAAAGTTTCATCACCAAGAATGAACGATTATTTAGAAATATTTGGCCTGATGAAGGAATGTCAAAATAGATTTAGAAAAAATATTCGACGAAAACTGAAGCTTTGCTCAAGAAATTCATGATTCGAATAAGGAGAAAAATTACATTGTTGATCTTTTTTTCGACTTGAGTATAGTTTGAGCAGGGCAATAATTTCAAGTAAACTACTTAACATTGATATCTCAGGTAATGTGAATAAGCTTGCCGTATATTTTTATTAAATCGATTTTTTGAAGTGAAATAAGTTAATAAATTGTTAAATAGGTTTTTGTAACAACAGGATCACCACAGGGTAGTAGTCTTGGACCACTAATATTACTGCTTTGAATATTACTGGAGTTTCATCCCAACATTAAACCGTTATTTTAACACCTAGACACGTGTTTCGATCACCAAGTGATCATCATCAAGAGGAAGATTATGCAATACCTCAGGGAATTATTGGAGAAAAAAATTTCAATAATAACGGAATTGATGAATTGATTTTTTTCACTAATTTCAGTATGAAACAAAATCGTTTCCAGGTAGAAGTTTGTTTTTATCAAAAACAGGAGGGAACGGTTATGGTTAACCCCTTGTCCCCCACCTGGCTGAACTGTTCATGAGCAAATTCCCAAGGATATGGCTAAGGTATATGGATAATATTTTTCGATTTTCGATAACAAAAAATTCACGTACACGTTAGAAAATAAGGGACAACTTCCGTTTCTTGACGTTTTGGTGATGATGAGCCAATGGGGAAAGCTAGAATTCGATGTATTTAGGAAGGAAACAACCAGGTATATTTCTGAAAATTCACATCACTGTGGACAGTACAAACGTACAGCGTTGAATTTTCTAGTGCATCACACATGAGGGGTTTACAAAAAAAAGTAACAATACAGAAAATAGCAGTCAGTAACGGTTTCTCGAGGGGTTTTATAGATGATATTATAAGGAAAAAAAAGGTTACGAATGAAAGAAATCCCGACTTCTAGAAACGACGACAACCAAGATAAATATATCTCAGTTCCATACCACCACTACACAAAGAACTTTGGGAATATTTTCAAGGAACTTGGTATGAAGGTGGCATTTAAAACAAGTCATACACTAGAGAGCCTTTTAGGAAATCCAAAGAACATGGTCAAGAATTCGGAAAAGTCTGGAATTTACGAAATTAAATGTAAGGAATACGATGTAAAATATTATGGAAAGACTGAAAGATCTATTAAAATAAGATATAAGGAACACTTAGCACACCTAAAATATGAATGATCAGAAAAATCAGCCGTCACCCATCATGTTCTGCAACAAAACCATTCCATAGACTTTAGTTCATTAAGATTAGTTAGACAAGTTAACAACAACAGGCATCTAGATGCCTACGAGAGTGTAGAAATAAGTAAACATAATATTATTGTCAATAACGATGGTGGTCCAATACCTAATAGTATACTATATAGCTTGTTGAAATAATATCTTAGTTATCAGATTTATCTGACCAGTAGATATGGCCACATTGATAAATTAATTTGAGACTAGTAGATGAGGCAACATTGTGCCTTACCATTTAAGACAATTAAGATGCAGGTATAGTCGAAGTAAACGATATTGTGCACTCTTAAAGTTGTCGGCACTGTCAAAGGCCAAAAATATCAATACATAGAAATGAACCGGCAGCGAACTAATCCACGTGGACTGTAGAATTGAAGGTTTGAATTGAATAATTTTTACTAACCGAGTTTTATGATTGGCTGAAGAGTCATAAAATTTGAAGTCACGTTACGGTGACGAATAGAAATCGGAGAATGCGGGGATGGTTATCGCCATCGTGTTCAGTTTAGGAACTGAAGGCGATTTGAGTGTTGAAATTCGATAATGGTGCAGTTATAATTACTTAAAATTTTTGTTATCTGTTTAAAATGTGGCGTCCTTGGACAAGTACAAATAGTAATAACGAGTGTGATAACAACGCAGACTTTTTCCAGTGTAGTGATTCCAATAGCGATGGTGAACAATGTGAAAAAGAGATACCAGTGAATAAGATTCGGATGCATTTGAATATTGAAACACAGAGAGTATGTTTCAATGTATATAAGAATCTACATCTCAAGTTTGGTTTTGAGGGAAACAAACTATTACAAGAAACATCAGATTTGACCGAAATTCCTTTCTCAACTATACGTAAAATAGTCAAAAACAAACTTTATGAACGCAAGACGCGATGTGATACGGGATTATCAAAACCTTTAGATGTTCATCTAATAAAATCATTGAAAAAAACAATATACGACTGTTACAAAAGCAATGAGATTCCTACAATTGAAATCATAAGGAAGAAATCGAATACTTCTGGCCATACCGTGAGCTGCTGTGACAAAACTCTTCAGAATTGGATAAAAAAACAGGATTTAGATTTGAAATAATAAAAAAACGTCAAGCTTTCGAAGAATGCTTCTGATGATTACTTTTCTGATTACTGGGATGACCAAGACTGAATAACGAAATTAGTTAGCTCCCTAACTATATTGTTAAAGGGGAGCTTTTGAAAGGTAGGTTGCACTATATCGTTCACTTGAACTATACCTAGCAGAGGTATCTATGGTAATAAGGTTAACATAGTAAGTATATTTAGTTTAATCTTTCTCTTGAAGATGATCATTTGGTGATCGAAACACGTGTCGAGGGTTAAAAATAACTATTTGGTGTAATATTCATTACTACGCCAAAGGTTCGAAACAGTGCATCACAATTACTGATTTACTTAAGGATCTTCTTAATTACATAATTCATGGTAAAATATACCTTTATGCAGATAACACCTTCATTAACTCATCTAGTAAATGTTTAGAGTAAATGTGTATCCTGGTCAATACGAGTATAGTATTACAGGAATTCAACGATTGGTGTAAGTAATAGAAACAGACCGATCGTCTATGTGAATAAAACTGTTTGCATTGCATTGGTCCTTGAGTTCAATAACTTCCAAAAAATTCCGAGGGAAAGTGATTAATCACCTTTTTACATGGCGGAAACATATGGAACTAACAATTAGGAAACTGGTTGCCGGCATAAAATTACCCGAAAGTGAACAATTCACTTGATTAAAAGCAACATGGCTGTCTGTGGATTAGCTAGTAAATTAAATGCAGTGTTCGTGGAACAGGAAACACTTTTGAGATTTCCTTTCAAACTGGATTAAATAATATTCTGTTCTGAGGAACAACGAAATGAAATATTCATAAGTGTATGAGTCTAATAGTTTCTCAACGCGTATTTCATTAACAAAGTATCATCTGAAGATGGTGAATCTCCTAATGACGCTAAGTCGGTTTCATAATTTCTCAGTTTCTATATTCGTTAAATCTGGACCCTCCGCAGTAGGCTTAGAAGAAGGAAAATCCAAAGTATTTTGGTTCACTTTCCACAACTATATTCCAAACAAATTTTAATCATTTTGAGGATTTCACTTACATAACTTTCTTTGTTACTGTTTCTTTTTCATGGATATTCAAAACGAATTCGAACATGAAACACTTGAAAGCATACCTGAGCAGTCTGGTAATGTAGTCAGGCCAGTTTGCAGGAAACATAACCAGGAAAAATCCCACAGCTATCAGTATCATTCCAGCAAGTTTCATTCCCTCGAATGTTGCTCCATATAGTAGAACGTCTAAAGCTGAAAATAGGTAACAGTTGAACATGTCGATGAATAATTTTTTCCCATAACTTTACCTGCTGAGACAGGGACAGCAGTTATCAGACCTAAGGTTATGAATACATCGTAGGTCAAGGCGACGCTAAAATTACCCAGTAAATTGGCAACTGAAAATAACGAAAAGGTAATTCACCAGAAAAAAAAGGCTTTCAAATATAAGGTTCTATAAGAACCTGCAGTTGAGCTAAAAGAATTTGGTTCAATGAACCATTTGATCCAACTGGGCTATTTTGAAGTTTTATGACCTGCAGTGGTCTCATATTTAGGTCAGAAAAGAGTGGTAAGTAGTTTGTTTTGCTGACATGTATGGACATGCTGATGTATGGAGAACATTGTGCAACACATGAAGGAACGCTTCAGACCAATAAAGGAATATGAGAGTGAATCGAACACAGAGTAGTCTATTCTGATTTATACATATAATTTGCACCATTTCTACTTACTACACTTTTAGGAAAATAAAGAAATTTATAATTTCCATAACTACTTTAATGTTTCTGTTTTCTATGTTTGAATTCAAGCCACGCCTTTCCTTTTTCACGCTACTGATGTTTTTACTTCCTTGATTATCTTTTCATTTCCTAGTCGTCATAACTATCCTAAGCACTATGATATTTTCTGACATCCAATTGCTTCTTACTTCGTTCTTACTTTTCTTCTGAAGTTATATTTTCGTGTTTCACGAACACCTAACACACATACCACCGATGATGTCTGCCGCAGTAGCGGACGAAACCTTTGGTACTTTAGGTTCCATTCGTACACGGTCTACTAGCTCGTATTTTGTTATCTCCAATCTGACCTGCAATTCATACAACGGGTTTGACGTGAAAATCAAAAATTCCACAGTTGAAATCGATGCAACGTTCACATAACGGTTGACTGAATCACCAACCCCCTTCCATCATTATATAGAAAGCGGAAAGATGGAGAAGTAGGAAACTAAATAATTTTTTCCCCAAAAAGATGATCATTTAATTTGTAGTCTATCGCAAGGATGCCTCAGTTTTCGAGATGGTCCTTTGTTTATTCGTGCAACAACAACCATTTATCTATGAGTAAAATTGTTTCATCAGGCATGCCACATGGCTCAGTCCTTGGTCCAGTCTTTATGATTTTCGTAAATGACATATTCTACCATATTGTTGTAAATCATGCCCTAAAGAAAATAACGCCGGCCGCCACTGGTAACCATAAAACAATCGTGACGTAGCTAAGAGCGCGCGAATGTTCGCTGCCGCTCTAGATGTAGCGACAATAATGCTACCGATTTCGATGAAATTTTCTAGCGCATTCGATTACGATATATAAACGCTAGCCACGAGCATATCGACACAGTCAAGTGGAAGTTACAGTGCGGTACGCGGAGCGATCTAGTAAGGCGATAGACATTCGAATAATAGTTGAAGTTTTAGTTGAAGTGTTTGTTGTATTCAAAGTGAAATAGAGTTAAGTTTGATTATTGTTTAGTGTAATCAATTATTGGTCATTCCACGGGGAAAAACTTAACAATATTAATATATACCGTATACTACCATATAAAGAAAAATGCAGATGCATCAAACCAAATTGTTGAATGGGTGGCACCTAATAACCTGGTACAAAATATAAAATACCACAAAACAGAAGCACTAACATTTTTCTCAAACACAACAGTTATTGCGGATGTTTCGCATGTTGACACGCTTTTCAAAAAATTATTGAAAGTTATACCACAAGACCTTAAAATTCTATCGATGATTTTCCATTTCTCAATGACAACTTTGTTATTTATCGATACTATGAAAGCCGTAGAATGAGTGGTTTTATATATAGCTGGTTACTCGTTTGCCAAACAAAGTTTGATTTAAAGAAAAATACAAAATCTTTAGGTCGAGTGGTATTCGTGAAGATTATTTCCTGTAATATTCTCAGCATAACCAGAAAATTCAACAAAGAACAACAATGATCATCAAACATATCACAATTGTGGAGTACTGCTGGATGATAGAGGCCGGTTTATGTTCAAATCTGAGATTATTTTAAGCCCTTCTATAATTGTCGGTACATAAACATTGTTAGTTATGATCACATGAGTAAACGACTGTTATGCATTGTTATTGACTAAATACTGTTAGTATATATCGATGTATATTAAGTGATAACTTTATTATTTTCTTTTCTAAACCTTTCCCCTTCTTCTCACTCTTCTCTTAATCACGATACCAAGCAATGCTTCATGCAGCTAACTATTTATTTGTAATACTGACATTGCTGTAGTTGTTTTTGGCAAATAATTATTATTGTTATAATTATATTATAACTTCAACTTATCACCTCAAAAATCAAGAGAGTATTACAAAAAGATACAAGGTTTAGAAACATTCTCACTTAAAGACAAGACGCTCGACGTCAACAACACCGGCCACGGCAGCACCTCCCAATACAACGTTTCGACGCCCATCAGGAACAAGCCCAGACACAGAGGCCACAGAAAGGCGGCGTTGAGCATGCCGATCAGGGAGAAGAAGAGCGCCACCTGGCCGTACGTGGCTTCGCCGACGATCTTCCTGAAGAGCACCTTGTAGACGGCGGAACCGGCCGCCGCCGAAGTAGCCAGCACCACCCCGCCAAGGGTGGGGCTGCCCGTGATGCCGTCCATGTACGCCAGAAGGGCCACGCCGGTGTCGCAGATTATCACAGCCATAATCTGGAGAAAAAAGTATTATTTATTAAGTAATTTGTAATATCGTACGTTCACAGGTAAGTCTTCGTTAATCCTTAGTTCGCAAAAGTTACAAGTTTCGTGATTAGATCAACGTCAGTGCCTTGGTAGGTGCGGTAATATTACAGCACAGTTATATAACGACTGGAATTCAGATAAGCATATCTCGTAGAAGAAAACTCATCAAATGAAATAATGGGAAACGAAGCTATGGAAGGGAATTATCTTCAGTTTCTGGGATTAGTCGTATGAGAATTCGAAGAATTCCACCTCTACAAAATTCATCGTGTGCACGAAAACAATGAAGGTGACTTGGACAGACCTTTAGAATTTTGTGAGCGGATAGTAATAAACACGAATTGTTGCTCAGCATTTGTTTGTCGGATGAGCGTTCGGTTTTTGCGAATCGGACTGTCACAACTGTCGCTATTGGTCTAATGATAACGAACACTTATTTATTCAATGGTCATGAAAGGCACTAGGTCCACTAGAGTATCTACATTATCAGGAAATTCGTATATCTTCTTAGTAGTAGGTACGAAACTTTAAAAATAATACATAAGTACATAATACATAATAAGTTGATGAGTTGTAAAACTTCTGATATTAAAGTAACAATTTAACTTTGACCTCAATAATATGTTCAAACCGTCAATTGAAACAGAGAACTGTATCAAGGTAACAAAGACAAAAAATAGTTTATTAGTCGTCAGCATTGATTAATTTAAGCAAAACTATGTGAGATGTTTCAAAATGGTCTTGAATTCTGATGGGATGTGAAGAAAATATCAATTTGATCATTGTGCCCGTTAGTGTTGCGAACAATTCTACATATAGGAGAATTTTGAGACGAATTAGTTGTCCTGAAAGGTATGTGGGATAAGTAGTTTGTTCTAAATGGTCGAAAAGAAACGTTAATTTCAATTTGGTTCAGTATATTGACATTGTCTACGGAATTTGGGATAATTTTGTTAAATTCATACTCAACGTCCTGAGAAATTTAATGCAAGGACTGGAATTTGATGCGGCTGGGTTGTTTGTCCTTCTTTCTACAGAAAATTCAATTGTTACAAAACACTGTCGATCTCGCATTAAAAACCATTATTGAACAAAATGCCGCTAATATGAAAATCTAAAATGCTTCAGAGCGATATATTTTTTCACTATAGGGAAGCATAAGGGCAACATTTTGAACGCATGTCTTGATGCCTCCTAACACCACTATATGCCTCCACTATAGATAAAGCCGCCCCTGCTTTCCTCCGTATATTTCAATATAAACCCCGGATGTTTCCAACACGCCAATATATTTATATTATTTCATATCTCTTCGAAACCGTAAAACTTCACCCTCGTAAATATAATATTTCTATACTTACTCTTATGCCGACGAATTGCTCGTGCAAGATGACCCAAGAGAGGAGATATACAAAAGAAACGTTGGTAGCGAAGAGGGCCATGACGTCAGTCGCCAGAAGTATCCTTAAGGACATTATGTACATGTAATTCGTTCCGACCCAAAGGATACAGAAGAGGCTGCAGCGCGTCATGAATCTCACTGGAAATGAAAATTGGGATATTATTGTTAAAAATTCAGTAGGACCTGAAATGAATATAGCAATAGCTGCCAGATTTTGAGAGGGGTTGAAGTGCCATTGTTTGTGATCTCTCTTTTGTGCATATCTGAGAAAAATCTACAGAAACATTATGAAAAATCAAGTGGTTAAGTGGTTATACCTCTAATCATTATTTGGTAAAGTGAAAAATAACTAACTACATCAAAAATTGGAGTATTAGATGTACAAAGTGTTTTGTAATAACGTGCTAATATTCGAGGATGTTATTTGGGGGTCCATTCAAAAAAAAACTACGTACCTATGGACTTATGAACTAAAAGTGCAATGTTGTAGTTCAAAAGTTAAGACCTTCAGAATATATATATTTTTAAATGCATCAAAAAATAGTCTCCTTGAATGTAATGATCTTATAGAAAAAACTGGAAAAATTGACAGTGAAAGTGTTTTATTTCAATACACAGCTCAGAATTGACAATTTCCTGTCAATCAATAAGCGGCAACTTTAGGTTCCAGGTCATCAGTTACGGAAACACATCTTCACCGGCAGTAGGAGGTTGCATATCTAGATCTAGAAGTGATTTCGAATTGGGGTGAAAGTAACCAGGTTCGATTCAATGCCACAAGAACCCAGTCTGGTCAGACAATTCCACTTTCTGCACCGATAAGTTTGTTAGGGGTTTAAATGGGCACCAATATGTCTTGGCACAATCATGTCGCTGGAATTGCTTGGAATGCTATTCCGAACCAGAAAACTGTACACACCTCTGCAACTTTTGATGATTTATAAAGCTCAGAGATCAGGCCTTCTTTGGAGTATTGTTCTCATGTACGGAGCTCTGCCCCCAAACATACCCTGAAGTAGCTGGATTCCATCCAGAAAAGAGCCATCCGACTGATTGGAGACGCGAACATCACATGCAACCTTGATAGCCTGGAACATCAAAGAAAAGTTGCAGAGTTGTCTTTCTTCTATAGATACTTTCACGGGAAGTGTTCAAGTGACTTGGCACATTTGATTCCACCAAGAGCGATACATATCAGAAATACCTGACGGAATGTGGTTGCTCATCGTTCTGAGGTTCAACTCAGTACACTTCGAACTTCACTGTTCAAGAACTCTATCATCTGGAGAACAGAGTTTATGTGGAATAAACTTCCTGAGAACGTTTTTCCAAATGTGACTCGCTACTTTCGCACAGGCACCGCTCTGAGAGTGCCTTAAGGATTTTCATGCAGTGCTTGTGTTTTGTCCTTAAGAAAAAGGTTCGAATTTTCTGCCTGAAATTGAAAAAAAAATAGTATCATTAGCGAAATTCTGTCTACCTAACAAGAGCGAAAAAGATCATTTTCGCATCCGAATTTTTTATTCCTTCAAGTATTCAAAAAAAAAAACTCACAGTAATCAAGTTTGTTAAAAAATACCAGCCTTCAAAAATCTTTCCGAGATAGTTGCATAGGTACTCTCAACAGATAAAGTTAAGACCTCTTTCAGCAATGAAAACTATGCTGAAAGAACTTCAAAGTAGTGTAGTCTTAAAAATACTACACTACTACACAGAATACAACAGCACCTACATCGTACATACCCGTTAATATAAAAAACTCGTATATTGGAACATCAGACAAGTTTGAAACCTGCTAAATTAGCGACAACCATGAACAGAAATATTCTAATGAGCACACTCCGCGAAATATTCACATAACTTCAGTTTTGCTGCCATACAAGTAGTGCCAAACAAATGAACTACAAAAACGAGTCCGGGAGATGCTAAACATAAAAAACTAATGCAATTGATGGAAAGTAAGACAGATGTTGACAAAAAAAGGTAGAAACAAAAAGCCATTTTCTCCGAAATCTAATCTGTGATGAAAAAAACCCCCCTTTCAATTTGAACAAGACAGATGCATCAAGTAATGCTGTAATAAGTTGGACATTATTTTTCGTTAAATATTGACTACCAAAACAGATGGGTTTTCGTAGAAAAAGGGAAACTTCATCAGCTTTCAGTAATAGTTTTAGGTCAACCAGAACCAAGCCATTCAAAGGGAAAGTCGTTTAAATTAACTGCTCGCTGTTTAAGAAATCTGATATTTCAGAACATTCAACCTCATCATTCATTTCATTATCATGCCGTTAAGGGTCGAAAATATATTATTCAGTCTGTGTATCCCCTTTAGAATAACATTCAAAAAGTACAAAACATATAATAAATATCGAAATTTATGAGTTCAAAGGTTTAACGACATGATGAAATTAAGGCATCCGTCTGGGATACCTCTTATTCGAGACAGAGAAAATATCAAAATAACCCGTGCAGTGACATCTATATATCAGTAGCAGGCTTACGACATTAGAAATATCGGAGACCAGTTGGGAATTCTTGCGGACATGTAGAGAACGTTAAGAGTACCGGGTTTGGAAATAATTTCAGACTCTTTCCGATTGGTAGGAATTTTCTGAAATAATTTTAATTACATCCCCTAACAGAGTTGAGGTGAGAAGTTTTTAGGGAAAGATTTAGAGCAGTCGTGCGCGGAGATTTGGTGAATCCAGTTGAATTTCCTACAACAGCTAGAAATTCTAGAGGAAGTTTTAGAGTGAATTGAAATATTGAGATATTTCAAGTCAAGTGATATTGGGTTTTGAAAGTATTCGCGGTTCGATTCAATTTAGTTGATTTCGGGTTTGGTACAGTTTTGGGGAAAGAGTGGTTTTTGTTGAAGAATCTCAATGAATATTTATTCTACTGTGTCGTGGTATATACTAAATGATGTCGTTAAGCGATTTTCGGCCAAAACTGTTTTCCACGAATTCAAATTGAACCAAAACGCTGTCAAAACAGTCCGAAAAATTAACCAAGCATTTGGCACTATTCGACGTTGATCCATCCGAGACTGATCCATCACAAACAGTTCGTGGGATAGCGAAGGAACTGAGTGTCAGCTCTCGTGTGGTTTTTGATGGTTTCAAATTTAATGAGAGGGTCAAAAAGCTTGATTGAACGATTGACAGACATTGGCACGTTTGCTTTTGCGCAACCAAAACGATTTTTTTATCGAATCGTCACGTGTGATGTAAAGCCCTTTTGTCGTAGAGGTTCCACTCTACGACAAAAGGGCTCGTTCAGGACAGCGATTGGAAACCGCTGAGCCACCCAGGCACTTTTCAAAGACGGAAACCTATCTGTATGGTGGTCAGCGGCTGGTGTGATTCACTATGAATTTCTGCAACCACACCAAACCATCACAAAAAAGTCCAATTGTGGGGAAATCGACGACATGTACCAAAAAATGCATCAGCAGCAACCGGCACCGGTCAACAGAAGAGGTTCGATCCTGCTCCACGACAACGCCCGTCCGCACGTTTCACAAGTCATTGTCTGAAAATCAAACAAATAAAGCGTCGGAGTTCTTCCTCACCCACCATACTCCCCAGACATCTAGCCAACCGACTACCATCTTTCTAAGTACTCCGATAACTGTTATCACTGGTCAGAACCAGACAAAAACGGCCCTCGTCATCTTCATCAAATCCCGAGCATGCAATTTTTATGCTGATGGAACCAATGAACGTGTGTTTCGTTGGCAAAAGTGCACTGATTCAAATGTCGGTTATTTCTAAGCTATTGAATAAATATTCACTGAGATATTACAGTTCAAAGTAGACTCATAAAAACAAATAAAACTTTTGAAACAACCCAATACGTTTCGGCTTCGGCTTTTAAGCCATTTTCAAGATGCAGTTATAGTCTATTTCAAAAGAGTGTAGAGTAATAAATCATGAAGTGTCATAAAATTTGCCTGAATTTCGTTGTCGTCCATGGGCGTAGGCAAATCTTAGGATTATTAAACTTAATAATTAAAGTAAATTAAAAATTACAGACATAGATAATAATAAAAGGCCATTTTTGGGAAGTAATTTGGTCTAAAACTAAGTACCTACATGTATTTAGGTAAGTAAAATTTCTTAAAAAAAGATTAAGATTAATTTTAGTGGTTCTTGTAAACTTATTTAATATGCAATTTGGGTTCATATACTTGAGCATGATTTCTCAAAAAAGGGTTAACACTTAGTTCCGAGGTGCCATGTCATTATAATAATCCCTTTTTGACCCTGCCCACCAATCATGCAATACCTATTAAACCCAGGAAATTAAGAAAAAGGGTTTAAATATATTGTAATGGTGTCTTAAACATTCGAGTTATAATAGTAATTGTTACTACACCAATTAAACGTACAGTGATATTGTGATATAGAAATAGTGAAAAAGTTATAAAATGGGGACATTTACTCCAAAGAAAAGAAGTGTAAAAAATTCTCCGCTATCTGTTTGCGAAAAAGTTATAATTTTAAATGTATATGATTGCATAAAACACGATCACCCTAGTTTGTCTGTGCAAGAAAGTGTTGAGCGATGTGCCCGAATGACTGGAATTGGACAGTCCACGATTTTTAAATTATTGCGAGAAAGAAAGATATCAGGCCAGGTAAGTCCATGCAAGAGAAAATCAGGAAGACCAATAAAAATCTTAGATGAAGACACCAAATGTGACATTCGAAGAAAAGTTCATTCGTTTTATTTTAAAAAGGAAATACCCACTCTTGAAAAAATATTTATCGAGATAAGCCAAGATAACGATATTCCTTTGATATCCAGAAAACTTTTATGGAAAACTTTAAAAAGTATGAATTTTGCCTGGGAAAAGCACAATCGAAAGGCACTATTACTGGAAAGTGATGAAATTGTTTGCTGGAGACGAAAATATTTGTAATCTCTAGAACATTCAATTAGGGTATAAATAGAGTGTTGTTAAACGTTAAGGGAAGTTCACAGTTTTAGTATTGTTCAAGTGTCAAATTGTAATAACGTATCCAGTAAAGTTCTTCTCGTTTTTGTGAATAAATTGATTTAAAGTCCCCACAAGTGTTTCAATACGTAAAGTTCGTTCGTGTGTGTTTGTGAGTATTTCCCGATTTCGGTTCGTATATATTTTATTGTTACATTTTATATTTTTTTAATAACACTGTTCTGCTGTATTAAATTTTTATTTCCTTTAATATAATTTTTATGAATGCATATTCTTTTGGCAATTATCCCACTAGCGCGCCTCTGGCTCAGTATTTATCCGTCGATAACAATCAAATCCCTTAAAACAGGGTGATACCTACCTGCTCTTTATGAAACGACATAATTTTGCAATGCGGACTAGGGAAGTGACAGAATTTATTGACGGATCACCCTGTAGCGCTTTTGAATACTTAATGAGATTTTATTACTCTACACTCTTTTGAAATAGACTATAGTATAATCACACTGAGGTCTCAATCTGCTAACGCTCTCAGGTAGTGAAATCCTTCTAGTGTTTTGTTACTGGACGCCGGAGTCCAATCTGACTACATTCCAGGTCTCATCAATTTTCTTCGTAAGAGTCTCAAGCTGGCCATTTCCCAGCGAAGACTTCGCGGAGGCAAGCCACAAAACCTTAGAAGTCACTACCTGAAGAGTAGACAGATGTACACTTCTGGAACCCAAATACAAGTTTAAACGAACATCGGAACATCTGGCAAAATTATACGGGAGAATGCTCATCGACTGGACTATTGCTTGACTTAGACTCACCTGGCGTGAATCCTTTGTCCCTGAAGTCTCTGATGCTCTCCAAAAGGATATCCGACATCGATTCGCATCTTCTGTTGCTCAGACGGCAGAGAAAATATAACGGAAAGAACAGCATCGTCCAGTTCGTGACGAACCAAGTGGTGAAAAACGGGGCTTGATACGATACGGTCTGAAAAGGGAAAAAGGAAAAAGAAAAACGAGTGGAACGTGTCTACGATAGATTTAATGGCGAGGTCGGTGAAACAATAGATGAAAAATTCCGGAGAAATAATGCCAATCCGGTTCAGAGAGTTTAAAATCCCTCTAGCAGTAATATCTTTTTCAAACAGGATGGACTGCAGTAATCGATTAATCATGATATGAGCACATAATTCCAGTTTTCACACAAAATTTGACGCACATTCTTTGATCCATTTTTATCGATAGCAGAAAATTACCGAACAGGCAAAACACTTCTAACTTTTATGCCTCATATCAACAAACTAAACATGCTAAATTAAAAATATCTGTCCTAATAAGAGTAAACTGAAGTAGTGACCATCATCCTCTACAAACCCCTTTTATGAATGATGCCCAAAAAATAAGTCCGCACAGAAAAAAAAAGTATTTTACTTATACACCTGTGACCTAGTTTCTGTTTCATTGTAATTCACATATTATGTATGCGGTTTCGACGGCAAACCTGCCGAAACTACGACCGAAACCGAAACTGCATTCGGGAGTTCCCGCGCTGTGATCGGTAATGTTCGGCGCGTTGAATTTCATATAAGCGACGAGAACATTTTGCCGCGTCCACGTGCCTAATCATGTCGTGACTTAGTTTGTGATTTACTTTGTTTATTAGATTAATATTAAGTACCTATTGTGATATTAGGTAACAACTTAAATATGTAATATTTTTGAAAAATCATCAATGATATTCAAAAGAAGGATCTACACTTACTCAAATAAACACCTCACCTATTTTAAGTATTTTTAAGATGCAATCAATATTTTATCTTAAATAAGGGTTTGTTATGTTGTCAATAAGTAAAAATGTCGAAGACTGCAAAACGTTGTGATTTAAAGATAAAAAAATAAAGACTGGCTGATTATAATAACGTTTTCTTTATTTTTTCCTCAAAACATAATCCTTGTATGGAAGTTTCGGTTTCGGCCGAAACTGAGACCGTTGCCGAAATTCGTTTTTGGTTTCGGTCGTAAAAGCCAGTTTCGGTCGGACACTATTTAACCCTGATGACGTTGCTACTGCTAATCGAAAATTGAATGAAGATCTAGCTCGTCTTATGTCAACATCTGAAGCTGATAACCTCAAAATTAATTTAAACAAAACTAATCTGCTTGTTTTTGGTACTAATCGTAGCTTAGTGGAAAGATACATTGATATTGTTATTGGTGATATAATAATATGCCCCACGAATGTGACAAAACATTTAGGTATCGAAATGGACGTGAATTAAAGGTTTACAAAACATATTACAAAATGTGTTCAAAGAAGTTATATGAGTTTGAAAATGCTTTATCCTCATCGTCATTAATTATCAATGAGTTTGAAAAAAAAAACAAATGCGTTTGTGTTGAGTAATTTTGCATATTGTGGTGTTGTGTATGGTTCATGCCTGTATGAAAAAGACATTTTTAGAATTGAAAGAGTTGAAAAATCATGTCTCAAATATATATATATGGTAATAGATAATATGACAGAATTTCATATAAACTTAAGGAAACCAATTGGTTAACTATGAAAAATAGACGTGTTTTACACTCGGCTACCCTCTTCCATAAAATATATAAACAAATGTCCATCATATTTGTATAACAAAATGAGATTTCGTAGTGATGTACATACTTTAATTTTGAGGTTTAAAGGGTTACTTTCCTTCAGTTATAATCTATATAGTTTGTATAATAATATTTCACAAAAATATAAAGTTAGTAAAGCTTCCTTATTTAAGTGCTGTTACAAAAAATATCTCATTGCTGCTCAATCAGAAAGTCATTGATTTCATAGATTTTATACTTCTAAAAAATGTTCAGTTTAAACATTCAACATGTTTTCTCTCCCTCTTTCCTCTCTCCTTTCTTTTTTTCTCTTCTTTGTTTTGTTGTATCTCTAGTTTAGTTTTATTTTCTTCCAAGCTAGAACTAAGATCAACAGTACCCTTCCGGGACATGTTGTTTCTAGCCTCATTTGTAGTTTTTTTTAAACTTTTATAGATTGAATAATTATTGTGTTTATATCTTATAAGGAACTACAAATAAATATTATTATTATTATTAAATCAATTTAAGGAAAGGTGTCATTTTGACATTTTCTCCTCTTGAGTAATCCCTCAGAGATAAAAACTATTTATATCTATTTCACTCACGTATACTGTTTGTACTATTGTCATATTGAGGCCACTAGTGTCATAAGGTATTAAAACGGGATCTGCGTCGGATTCTGGGTCCTTGGGTTGCCTCAGATAAAGGTATTTTATACAGTGTGTTGCTCCGACCCAAGATGCTGTCACGCATACTGTCACCCATATTCCAAAGTAGATCTGAAAAAAGGGCACGTTGAATTTCTCAAAAAATGAACGTGTGCAGAAAATTCAAATATAAAATAACAAATTGTTGCGTAAATTCTCTAATAGTACGTAGTAGTAGGAAACTTTCCAAAAAAAAACACATACACACAAGATATTCTAAGGTTAGAACTGCAACAAGTGCAGTTTATCAATGTTTTTTCAATCTGAATTAACAATTATAGTATTATAGTATTGATAGTATTCTAGTAGCCAGTAGATTCAATCTTGATCATTTCTGTTATACTCGTAGTGTTGTTGACTGACACGTACTGAAATTCATGTTCCATGACTCCACCGGTACAGAAATTTGACAGAACTCGTGTGATGTAAGTGCGCCCCGAGGGCAGAACGGCAGAACTAATTTTACCAATGGAAAACTCATTACACATTATTTGAATCTCAGAGTAATAATAAGACATAGAGTTTCCATGCGTATACCAATACAATACATGTATTTTGAAGCGGATATCGTACTATTCTTTTCTGTACAATTTATGGGCGGGGAGGGGTGACGGGTAATGATGGGTTACGGAGAGTTTGTTTACATTTGAAGTAAGTTGGACCATAAAACAGTGGCGGTTGGTTTAGTTGATAATCGGAGAGATATTATATATTAATAAAATGAATCATTTCAGGTGAAAATGTCTTCTGTTTAAATAGTTCCTACAAGAAATCTGATTTTTATTAATGATTATCATGGAAATGAGGCCAGTTTTTCTACCACCTACTAGATTTTCATTCATGTATGGCTTTATAATAAAGCGCGTGGTTTACTGAGTTAAAATGAAATTATTTCAAATGAACTAATTATTCATAACAATAATAAATGGTAATTTTATAAGTAATGAACTTTCCTTCAGATAATCAACAAACGGTACGGTTTGTGAGGTCCGATATAAATGATTTTCGATAAGAAATCATGAATATTTATAATTACCATTGAGGTTTGATATTATTATGTAATTTCATTCAAAATTGGTATCTTGGGGTTTTTGTGGACCAACATTATGTTTTTTTTTCAATAATTCATGCAGACGAATTCTATAATTACGAAAAATCATTAATGTAAATGAAAAAACTGTATTCAAAAATGAAAAATATGTTTTTCAAATGAGTGCCATAGATCATATCCATTCTGTGATCAACAGATTGAAAAGCTTTCTGCTCAATGTTCAGTTTGTATTCTAAATAGTTATTCTCATGCAACCGGTGTTAAATTTGTTATTGTTCACTCAACAACTAACTTACGTCACACAAAGAATATGATTTCCGATTTGGTTTTATTTTATTCGCACGAGGCTATCGCGTTGCATATAGACAATATTTAATAAGACCTGACGGCTGTAGTTTTTTTAACTTTTTTTTTGGTTGGGATATGTTAAATAATGAAATAATATAAATCTAGTTTCAAGAACTTAATATATAGGAATAAGATAAAAAAAATTATTAAAATCATCAAAAATATCCCTTTTCATAATGTTGGTCCACAAAAACCCCTAGATACCAATTTTCAATGAAATCATGATTTCCAATCGAAAATTCTTTATATCGGACCTCACAAACCGTACCACTTTATAAAATCTGAGAATAAATCACAAATTTCTCCATCTGATTATATGAAGCAAAGTTCATTACTTTTGAAATTAACATTTATTATTGTTATGAATATGTTCATATGAAATAATTCAATTTCAACCCAGTAAACCACGCGCTTTATTATAAAGTCATACATTAATAAAAATCTAGTAGGTGGTAGAAAAGCTGGCCTCATTTCCATAATCATTAATAATAAATCAGATTTCGTGTAGGAACTATTTGAACAGAATACATTTTCACCTGAAATGATTTATTTCATAAATATATATACTATCCCTCTGATTATCAACTAAACCAACCGCCACTGTTTTATGGTCCAACTTACTTCCCGTAAACAAACAAAGTTATGCTGACGTCAATGTAAGGATGGAAAATGCCTCTCTATTGTCTTTTGTTACTCTGAGATTTGGATATAAACAAAATGGTTGACAAGTTTTTTACTCAGTTTTCCATAGAAACCTGAAAGTTATAGCAGAGAAACCCCTCTACATTCCCAAAGAATTTACGCATAAATATTGTTATCTATCTACGTTCAAGCGTTCAATTACTGTTTTACGACGTTTCTCGAATATATGTTTTCCGCTTATAAAATAACACGCTACACTTCTGACTTGTTCAAATCCTATCACGCTACGTGCATAAATTCTCTCCTCGAAGTATTACATGTTCGTCGTGTTTTGTTTCACGTTTAACGAGACAAATTTTATGGACTCTTCGTTCACCGACAGTTGAATGAATGGACGAGAATAGAACTATTTTCGCCATTCATGATTATCTGATGTGGGAGGGAAGTAAGACTAATAATAGATGTTATTTATAAATAAGCAACTGATTTGTGCTGAAACAATTATTTCAGCTGATGTTCTTAGCTGTAATCATTAGTTTATTGAAAGGGAAATGTTCCTCAATTTGGGTTATTACAGCAAATGCAAGTTTGAACAAAATAAAGTTGAGTTTAATTCATGAGTTTTTCAAATTCACTTCGAAAAGTATTCAAATTGATGTTTGAAATGTTGGATTTTAATTTTTAAAGGGATTTGTTTCTAATTCACATATTGGCAACAGCGCCTATATCAAGTTGAAATAATTTATACGTAGATATTCTACTTTAAAAAAGGAAAATTATCTTTATAAATCAACAATTGAGGCAAAATATAAATTATAGTTCAATACCACCTCCACAAGCCACATAAACAACAATTGTTTTGTTATTTATTTATATAGAGAAAAATAGGTTAGGTGCACAAAATGTCATATGTCACAGAATGTCTCGGAACTCGAAACATAAGTAAACAGAACAGCACGCATCTGAAATATGTCATCTTTGTTTATGTTATAGGTAACAGATTTATTGTCCTTTATTAGCTATAACCGATGTTGCCAAATGGTGACATAGAAACGAATCCCTTTAAATGTTGAATACATTATTTCATTCCTCTTTTTTAAGTATTTAAATAATTTTTTAAAGAAAAAGGTTGAAATGATAAGTTTAAAATGCGTTGTTTTAGAGCTCTTTTATGAAAACTGCTTGATTTTCGTCAGGAGGAACATTCCCCATTATGTTATTCAAAATAATTATTGAATAATAGTCTGGAACTTGCGATGCTCAGGCAACTAGACATTAAAATTAATGCACTGTCAGTTGTCTACATTATCGTTACAATTTGAATTTAACTGTGAGAGAATTTGCTATTTGTTAAACTGTTTTTTGTTCGCCTGTTTTTCTTTCGAACGTTCTGCCGACTGATTCGAGTTTTAGAGAGATTTCCTTCCTCAAATTGTAAAAATATGTTAAACATATTTGTATCTTGAGTAAATGAACCCTGAACAAAATCAAACGAAATTGAATAATGTATAATTTGGCATTTGGTCATCTAGACAGTTATCATGATTATATAAAATAATCTACTTCGACATCTGTCAAAAAAGTTTGACAAAAAATCGAAGAAAAAACTGCAAGTTATTTTTTCAATTCTGAAGACGAAGGCAAATATTGACTTTCGAAACGTGAGGATAATTGCCAATCGGTACATATTCTTCGCTTTTTTTATAGGCGAAACCATTGAATAGAACAAGTTAATGATAAACGGTGCAATTTTTGTGTGAAAACAACTTTTTGCCTTTTCTACATCTGTTTGAAGTTTTTCATTCAGGAATCTGTGAAATGTCGTTTTACTTTTCATTGTTTCGAATGAACGTTCTCGATGTATCCACTTAACAATATATTTGTTTCAATTTAATTGATGCATGCATTTGTTGAAATTATTAAAACCGATTGTACACAAAATTTGTTCTGTTTCAGTTTTTGTTTTTCAATGTTATATGAAATAATTTGTCGAAAAAAATGTGAGAAATTATAATATTGAAACACTGTTTGGAATGTTTGATAGTAAATCTTAGTAACAGACCTTTTATTTTCAACTATCAAAATATTGAGTATAATCTTTACAAAACGCAAATGAAATTGTTACACGAATTAAAAAGATTGTTATTTTTAATTCGGCACTGGTGTCCAGCGGGTGCAGAAACTGATTGTTAAGATCTGGCAACATGTTTGTCTAATTAAAGTACAATAGTATTCCGTCTGACCGCAGCGCCGAATTAGAATTATCAACAATCAATTGTCAAACAGTCAAAATAATTCAATATCATATAATACCTACTCATAAGTAGTAAAATGGTGTGACATACTGTTTCACTTTTTACTAATATTTCTTAGTAATGAAGAAAATTATATAGACTGCGGAAATACGCTGATGCATGACTCAAGTTGGTAAAATTATTTTGATCCAGCAGCAATGCTGTCCAGCACTGATTTTAGTTTCGGTAAATGAGAGGAAATGAAGTAGTCCTCTGATGCTATGATGCTTGTGGTAGAATAAGTCTGATGGTTGTCTGCAATAATGGTTTCAATGTTTATTTATTTAGAAGGAAGAAACCATATAGGTGGCTAACCTAATTACATGTTTTCCATACTTACAGTTATAATGCGTAGATCTACAGAAAAAAAGAGTGCTCATTAGCAATCCTGATGTGCGTTAGCCTGAACTAGAAAATAATTTGAGAATATTTAGGAAATAAAGTTTTTGGCTTTCTACTACTCTATCTTGATGCAAAAAAAAGATGTGGAAATCTTCCAAAGAAAGGAAGGAAGTAATAAATTAGAGAATAAGTAACTCTATACATGGATGTGTAGATCATGCAAAGAAGTAACTTTCAGACACAAACTGGAAGAAAGCCCTCCTGAAACAGCTACTTTCATATAAACATTGAATTACACGAAAGAAAAAAAAATTCGGAACAAATACTTTCAAATGAACACTGAATTATACAGAAGATACTTTTCTCAATTCAGTTTGTATTCCAAACGTTCGTTATGAAATAAAATCAGATATTTCTTTCAGATAACTCATTCACAGGAGTTTTACTTTGAATGAATGGTAACAAATTGCACTTACATGGAACATTGTCATCCTCACTGGTAGACATCGATGTTTCGCCGTAAGACACTTGCCTTAGGGCTCTTCAGTACCAAATTGGATAACATTATATAAAATACACACAATTCATTTATGAATTACGATTTTTAATGTCATGAAATGAGTTTGATCGATGACATCGTAATGACACATCCATGTATAGAGTTACTTATTTTCAAATTGGAAGATTTCCACATCTTTTTTTCCCACAAGTTATAAATAGTGGATACCTACTAAAATTCAAAATACCTAAAAGGTCTTTCAACAGGAACTTCCGACTTGATATCGGCCATCTTGCTGTAGCTACATTAGTTGTCATTTGTCGAATCACCATTTACGGACATAGTATTTAAACACATGTACGGTCGCCATAATCGTCCTACTGAGGGAACTATAAGCTATGTAGTGGATAAATTTGAGCCCACTCATCGCCGCTGTCTGTGAGAGTGCAGGAGAATCCGAGGCACAAGAACCCTGCCTTTACTTTGCGTGACTTGGGCCTCCTCCCGTACAAAATTCAACTGACCCAGGAACTGAAGGTAAACTACCATAGACAACGACATTTGTTCGCTGAATGGACTCTGGAGCAGTTGGCAACTGACCCTGATTTTCATCGAAAAATCATCTTCAGCAATGACGCCAGTTTCTGGATGAATGGGTGAGTGAACAAACAAAATTGTCGAATTTAGGACGACACCAATCCATATGAGATCCAAGAGCGTCCAATGCATCCCGAAAAAGTCACTGTTTGGTAAGGATTTTTGGCTGGCGGAGTCATTGCTCCATATTTCTTTGGATACAACGTTTGCAAGACAAACACTATCAACGGCGAGCACTGTAGGTAGATGAATACCAACTTCTTTTGGCCTAAATTTGATGATCTGGACACCAACGGCATGTGGTTTTAACAAGACGGGGCTATGTGCCACGCAGCTCATGCCACATTGGATATTCTGCACGAGCGATTTGAGGGCATTGGAGGTGATGTGAACTGGTCATTTTGATCCCCTAAGACTTTTTCTTGTGGGGTTTTCTCAAGTCGTAGGTCAAATTCAGCCTAATATATGCGCCAGAGTTATGGAAAATTGGACGTTTCGGCTGGGCTCCACCCTGAGAAGCCATAGCGGACATATGATTAGCTCTTCCAAACGAATACAATGATGATATCTCACACACACTCGTCAACTATTTTATTCAACAGCATCATAAGCAAGTATTTTTCTTAGAGAAATTAAATCATTTTTACTAGTTCATTTTAAAACAATCTAGCAGCATAAAAAACCGCATTCTGTACCTCACGAGACGGCTTCTGTCGTGCGTGCGATGGATTTTCTGAACTTCAACCATAACCATGAATTATCAACCCAATAATTACATGACACAATTATCCACGCTCAACTTTTTTTCCACGGCAATTGCGTGCTTAGGCGTCGAATGCGTGTTTACAGTTTTGAATTTTCACCGACGGATTTGAATGTTCGAGTGTTTTTCGTACGCTAATCGGAACCCTTGGAACATTCATGTGCACTCGTAGATTATGAAAGATTATGCGCCCGAAATTGCATGACCCGACAAAATACTTAGCGCTGGAATTTTATTGGCTCGATGTTTATGAAAGATACATTGCACGAGGAATAATTCATAAATGGAGTGACGGAATGAATCGTGGTCGGAAAATATTTAGGCAGTTGAAATTACGTCAGAGCTTTTGAACAAATTATTCCTGCTCTCGGATGGATGAGTAGCTAACACCAAGAAGAAGATTCATTATACTTCTACAAGTAGTATACTTCCTCATATGTAGGTAACAGTCCATTGTGAAACACACGTCACTTTTTATGACGTCTTTACCCATAATTTTATTCTGTTGCTTCTCCCCCTTTGCCCCCCTTGTCGTGATATAAAATCAGTGCAATGATTTGCTCGCGTCAAACCACTGACGGAGAAGATACGAGAAAATCAGAAGAAGATGGTATGAATTCAGTTTCTGCAACACCAAGCAAAATATCTTCAGTGAACTGAACCACATCAAGAAGAGTCTACACCCCAATGGATACTACAAGAAGCTAGTAGAACAAAGATTGTTTTGAAAATAATAGCCTATAAACTGGTGAACAGAGGTTCTGAAACCAGTGCTATCATTTGCTTGCGTCAAACTACTGATGGAGAAGATACCAGAAAATCAGAAGAAGATGGCATCAATTCAGTTTCTGTAACACCAAGTAAAGTAACTTCAATGAACTGAACCACCTAATCTAAGGCTGAACCACATCAAGAAGAGTCTACACCCCAATGGATACTACAAAGAGCTAGTAGAACAAAGATTAGTTTGAAAACAAGAGCCTATAAACTGCTGAACAGTGCTTCTGACCAGTGCTATCATTTGCTTGCGTCAAACTACTGACGCAGAAGATACCAGAAAATCAGAAGAAGATGGTATAAATTCAGTTCCTGCCCACACCAAGTGAAGCATTTTCGATCAACTGAACAAGATCAAAAAGAGTCCATACCCCAACGGATACTACAAGAAGCTAGTGGAATATTGGTTAGAAAACAAGAGCCAACAAAAACTGAACAAAAGCTTCTAAAACCAGTGCTATCATTTGCTTGCATCAGACAACTGACGAAGATTGAAGGAATTCAGAAGAAGGTGGTATAAATTTAGTTTCTGCAACACCAAGTAACTCCAATGAACTGAACCACATCAAGAAGAGTCCATACCCTAGTGAATACTTCAAGAAGCCGGTAGAACAAACATTGGTTATGAAACAAGAGCCGTTAAACAACTGAACAAAAGTTTCAGAAAACATTGCTTTCCCTTGCTTGCGTCAAATCAATAAACTAGAACAACTATGAAAACATAGAAAGAACATACGGCGAGAAGAAAATAGCAAGTCTGGAAAATGTCTGAACTAGCCACATATATAAGTGATCCAAAGCTAGACTTCACATTGGTTGAAACCTATGAACGGCAACCCCCAGATGTGCAAGCAAATTATTACTGAGATCTTACGTTACAATGTGAAATGCTTAGATCTAGCAGGATTTTTTCTGCTTTTTTCTGCAGGATCTGCTTAGGGAACTCATAAATAAAGGAGTTATGAGCAAAGTGTTAATAATGAAACAGACACTTTATGTTCTCTTGATTTTCATTTTTCCGGTAATATATAGAGTAGAGCACTAACAGTCATTGTTTTGGGGGTGAGAAAATTATGCCGCATCGCACTGTAATTTACGTACTTGAAAATTCAATTCATACTGCCTAACTGAAACTTACTTTCCTCGCCGAGTTTGAGCAAAGCGACGTCCAACATGCTTTCAATCTCCCCACAACTCCACTAGTTTGGGGTGCGGGAGAGAGAGGCTCCCCTGCCGGCTCCTGCTGACTACTGACGGAATCGGCGTGGCCGAACGGGCCATTGGCCACGCCCTCTTCGGTGACTACGACGCTGGGTGCTCGGTTTCGACCTCGGGGATTGAAGATGGTCGGGATTTCCCCGTCTCGGGTCATGACTTAACTAAAACATGTCCGCCGGAAATAGTAGTTTACTGGAATTTCTGCCCTGGAAAAAGTAAAGATGTAATTTAAGTAAACTGAAATCTCATTATTAAAAATAAATATTTTTACGACTAAAAAGTTTTCAGTTATATGACGACTCGCTAGTTTCATTCTACAGATGAGAAATATGGGTTGTAGACTAAGAGCTGACCCCCAAAAACAGGTTTGATCCTTCAGCTGACTTTTGATACTTTTGATCCGTAGTCCATTAGCTTTTGTATGATCCTATCGGAAGTAACATCTTTATACAGTTTTCTGTATACTTTTTACCCAAGAGCTGATCTCTACTAAAAATATTCCCCTTTCAATATAAAATATAGTTTTTTTAGGCTAACATTATAATTCAAACAAACAAATGGAGAGTTTCATCAATAAAGTCTGCATAGAGTGGAAAATTTAATGTTTAACTTTACGAAAAATTTATCTAATTTCAACGATTTAATTGCGAAATCCTTCAGTAATTTTTGTTATGTTTGTTAATAGCCGTTAACTTACCTGAAGCAACATGAGCAAACTAGTACAGTTAGGGACGATGACGCACATACATCGTCAACAAAATACGCCTTGAACACTTTTGTTTATATATTATCATTTTCTTTACAATAGTGAAGAAAGGAGACAAAACAGTTAAAGTTTGTTACAATCAAGAGAGCTTTCATTTGGATAGTAGCTTTCACATAGTATATCAAAGAGGGATAGTACAACAAACGTGAGTCTTTTGCAATTTCTTTAATTTTAGCCGGTTTGACAGTATTGTTTACATTTGTTTATTGAAAAGTTTCTTCTGTTTCACTTCTTTCATACTACACAAATGTTTGTTTTCACAACTAATGCACTTGCACACTTCATATTTCTCAGTAAGTAAATGTTATATCGTAATTATAAAACTTAACCTCAAATTTGGAATGGTTCTGTCTAATATTCCGCATGCTGGAAAATTTGAATTGCCATAATATATGGGAGTTCTAAAATAATGAATATAAAATATGTTTTTAGTATTAGTGAATTTCTTTCTACTTTGTGTCAGTTTGTGGACTCGTATCGGATGCACAAGTGTTTGTATTTTATTTTCCTTCTGCACTCATATACTGGGTCCTGGGACGGGATGTTCTGTATTCAGTTCATTTTGTCGACATCATATAGTAATAAGCTGAAAAGAGGTAAAAAAAATAAAATTTAGGAAAAAATTAACAGCATCAATGTATAGAGTACAAAATTCTCTGACGATCAGTATATTTATTGTACTGTGTCGTGGTGGTCACAGTACAATAAATATTTATTGAAATATGGAACTACGAAAACACATGACATCAAAATGGACATTTTTTTAATAACCAATAATAAAGCAAAGAGCATCAACCAGATGCATATTCCAATAATCGCTATGTCAGATATTTATCCATTTATACCCGAACGAATCAATACTACCGCTCCCTAGCGTAATTCATCAGTTATTAGGTTTATGAAGTCTTCAAAGACGTTATTCCAACATTACAGAGGTGAAGCCGTGATGAAAATGTTAGGGGCACAAATTGATTCAACTAAATATAGGTCAGGCAGGCTCGGCTATCGGAATTTTATCTCAATTTGCAGGGAACTTCGTCGGGTGCCAGAGAAAGGCAATTTCCTTTCCTTTGGCATATATGTTTTTATTGTATATGAGGCAAATTGACTGACGTAAGAGTTGAAATTGAGTTTTCTTGAAGTTGCCGAAGTTATGGCCTGCTTATAAGTTTGTTTTCGGAATTTCCTCGCTTTTTATGCAGGGTGTCGTAACAGTGACTTAATTTAAGGGTTGGAATTTCGATGAACTCCGGTTACGAAATACTTTTGGGAGATTTAATGTACCACCCAACAATTTTATTTTTGACTTTTTTTCGGGCATGATTTACAACAATATTATGGTGAGCAGACCCAACGAGGACGCTTATTACACATCCACAGATCATCCGAAAATGATTGCCCATATTTATTGAAACCATTATAATTTTGAAATATCACTATGTTAGTGGTGTGTTGGCTTTCATTGCCGGTGACTAACAAGCTGTCCGATATTTCCTGGTTTAATAGCCCTGGTCCGTTGGTTTTTATACCTGACGTTTCGTCTGCTACTGCGGCAGACATTATCAAATGAGATGCGGCAACGGTCGAAGTGATCTGCATTGCTGCAATGTGCAAACTAAAAATGATCTTGGTAGGTTTGTACTCATAACGGCACTGCTCTAGTACCTGATTGATCCGACTCTTCTTCAACGTTGCGGTGAGCGATCTGCCGCTGACGCCATCAAGCTAGAATCGGCTAGAACCGACCAGCCGGACCAGCGCGTTAGTGTTCGAGAACGATCTGGATTGCTTTGAACGGGATAAATACGCACGGCGCAGCGACATTGCGCTTAGTTTAAAACTGAACGCGTAACCAACGTCCAGCGGTTGGGTTAGTAGAGAACAACAAAAATAATATTATGGCAAGCAGTTGTAAGAAGGTAAAGACATACCACTTTCATTCGGAATGGGAAGAACAATACTTTTTTACAGAAGTTAAAGATAAAAATGTGTGTTTGTTATGTAATACTTNTCATTGAACGTGCTTTTTTATTTTTCAATGTTTATGTTCATGATAGTGCGTTACTTTTTTGTTGTTATTATTAACTATTTTTAAATCATACGTGACATGCCGTTGTGGCTGGATAAAAGTTTGTGTTTATTTTTCAAACACCTTCGTTTGATAGGTAGGAATGTAGCTATGAACAAGTACGTACTAGTAATATTAGTTATTTTGTTATTAGTTTATTATTAGTACCTATGTATTATGTATTACCAGTTACGTGTATTACGTTGTATTACGTTGCGTTAGTGGCTTCCGTGTGGGTAGCTCGCTGTTTATTCCAAAATTAACAAAGTAGCTCAACACATTGAAGAGGTTGGCGACCACTGCTCTAGTTTGTGTCTGAAAGTTACTTCTTTACATGATATACACATCTATGTAGAGTTAATTTTTTAAATTGATTGCTTCTTCCCTTTCTTCGAAAGATTCCCACGTTTGTTGTATCAAGATAGAGACGTAGAAAGCGGAAACCTTTGTTTTCCAAAAATTAATCTCTCCTAAAAATATACCCTTTCAATTTAAGGAATAGTTCAAGTTCGTAATTCGTATAAAATAACATACATAGGATATGCATACTCACCCTTTTTTTCAATATCCTACATAACATCCCTGAACTTTATGACGACCGATTGAACATCTGAACAAATCGTTATACATGGTCATTTCAATCGATTGCATTAACGATACTTTCCCGTTTCCCGTAATAACACGGCATAGAATATTGTAGCACGAGGAGAGTATTATTTGACGTGATACTCTGTGGATCATGTTCTGCTCCCGATAGTCCCAATTCGAAAATAGTCTTTCTGTCAATTTGGGTGTTTTTATGGAACTATCGGGACAGGTAATGATACACACAAAAGTAACCGTATTTTTTGTCGCACGTGCCATGAGACATAAATAAATTCAGTAATGTATACCTACACATGCGTTATCGATTTGTGTATCAGATGTGAATCGACAAACTAATGAAAAGGAAAGGATGTGTTCCGCAAAACTCAATATATTAATATATGTCTTCTACATTGCTTCTATATTTTTTTATTCTCTAATAGTGAATACCCCATTAAGAGCAGATAGTTGTTGGTTCACAGATGGATTAAAAACACCTTCCGGTTCTGGTGCAGGTGTTTTCAGTCGCAATCCCAGGACAGCGGAAATTTACGCTTGTTTCATAATTTTTGGTTTATAGTTCACTTGATAGAAATCTCAAATTGAAAAACAGTGCACTTTGTTTCAGCTCTCTAAGTACCGTAGTTTTCCCGTAAATAATTATTAAAAATCGAATATGGTAGGTCGTTGACGTCACGGGCCTATTCCTTCTTCTTGTTCGGTTGACCAATGGGAACAATAGAAATAATCAACATTGCCAAATCGTGAAATTTACGAAGGCTATAATTATCAATTCAATTATGGAAGTGTATATGAACCCGTTAACGTTTCAGTTAAAGAAAAATTCTCCACATGGAATAAAATGTACACGAAAAAGCATGTTTAGAAATATGTTCTTTATCTAAAATATCATAAAATATTTATTTAAACTATGATTTTATGCATTATTTAATGATAAACAATTATGAAAATCAAAAAATTCAGCGAACTGGATTAAAGAATCATTTCAAATAATCAATTTATTCTACAATCCTCAATCTGTACATCTGCAATTTATTATAAAAAAAACGCACAAGAATGCACCATAATAATAATATTCAAATATATCTCTAAAACACACACACAAACTAAACTCGATGATAAAATGAATTGTTCCTACGCGAGCTGTCAGCTAAGAAAAAGTTGAAACTCAATGTTGCAAAAACAAGCAGAATGAATTCGATATGACATACATTTTCAATGGCGAATAAACAAATAAACTGTGATATAATAATAATAATAATAATAATAATAATAATAATAATAATAATGGTCTTTATTGGGTGAAATACAATATAACATCCAAAAGGCGAAGTTCAAAACTGCAGTGTAGAACACTATAGGTTTGTACTACTGGCAACAACAAAAAAAATAAAACAAATACAAACAAAAAAATGGAAAAAGTAATATATTATACACCTGATATCAATCAGCATTCCAATAACAACAAAAAAAGAATATACATATGGATAAACTATTGAGTATTTAAGTTTGTTTACCTAATAGTTCAATTTTCAATTTTTGCCTGAAAATACCTATTTTGAAATATTTCAAATGAGGGGGAAGTTTATTTTAAACGTTGCATATCTGATACGTACATGATCGTTTGAAAAATTCATGAGTGTGTAACGGAGGAGTCAATAACCCTTTATGCCTTACATTCAAGTTGTGTAGGTACGTCAGTCCGAAAAGTAAAATTATTATATAGATCGGTCGGAATCTTATTGCAGATAACCTTATGATAGAAACACGCTGAGTGTAATGACCTTCGGTTTTCCATATTGAGACAACAAGTTTCTGACAACTTTGATGAGATTCTGTTCCTTCTACGTACCTCATGAATAAGGCGAAGGCAGGAGTTTTGAATCTTTTGGAGTCTTTTCTTGTTCCTAATTGTGAGGCATGGTCCATAGAGTACATCTGCATAGTTCAAAGATGAAAGAACGAGACTGTCACATAAAGTAATTTTTGTGTTTTTAGGGAGGAATTTTCGATTTCCGTAAATCAGCATGAGTGAAAGGTAAGCTTTCTGGATTAATTTGTTCACATGGGAATCAAATTGGAGATCACTATCTATAGTCACCCCAAGATTTTTTGCTTCCTTCACAATTTCCATTTTATAGTGCGCTTTTTAATCTATTGTTGACAAATTAATATGCAGGTAGTGGTTCCACTAGTTAATTACCAAAAAGTCAATTAGGATAATCATCATTTAACAAACAAAGTCCACATCGGACCAAAAAACTTTAGGTATATAAACAGCTAACCCTTGTCTTTAGATTTAGTATCAATTTGCTTCTCCTGAAGATGCTAACCTTGTTAGCGAAACACGCGTGGAGTGCAAAAATATCAGTTTGGTGTTAGGGTAATTGATCTCTAAAAAAAGTTTTCAAAAATCGGTTTGCAACTCCACTCACTAGCTTACATAAACCCACGAACACACGGCACTATAAAGAGATATTGTGAAACGGCCAAATAATTAGTATTCAGCCAGCCCAGCTAGCCGAGCATTTATTCCTCAACTACATTTGATAGCACGTTTACTAACTATCTGGGCGACTAGGGGCCACAGGCCAGAAATGTTCACTGTACCAGGGACGCTTCGAACATAAAAGCACTGGTAGTGTATACATTTCCCATTTGCCGGGCAGTGATTATGAACACCCCTCGTAGTGCTCTTATTTTTATTGCCGTTCCAATTGGGAATGGATAGACTATACTTGTAAAAAAGGTTAGCTAGGAAACGCAAAATGAAATAAGTACTAAGTTGAATTCTATGTGGCTCAAAAATAAAATATTATTCTTATTTAATTCAGGTATTGTATATGCCTTATCTACGTGATAATTTATACTTGGTATACTTGGCGATCCGAGGTTCGACGTTTCGCATCTAA